AACATCACTTCAACACATGTTCACAGCCTATGATGTAATGCTTGTTATGATTTGCGGCGGTTTTGCCTATTCTTACAAATGCTTACAATTTCTCGCAATAGGTGTCTATATATTGACTAAATGTCACTGAATTACAGATTCTTTCACTCACTTACAGTAAACTACAGAATAGTCCAGAATTACAGTCATTTACTACAGTGTACTGTATCTGTGTTTTGCAATTTGTCTATATCTGTACGACTTTATGCAAAATTGATTGACAATGTATAAGAATTGTATTATAAGACATTACTAGGTAAATCATTGACAATTTTATTTCAATGAAATAAACTTTAATTCACTTTACAGAAAATTAGTTTAATATAATTCAATGAATTTCAGTTTAAATTAGTAGACAATTTTATTTCTTTTATGTTTATTTTTTTTATTTAAAAATTATTTTTTGTTATATTATATAATTTCAAATTAAACTTAAACTTCAAATTTACTTTAAAATAATTAATTGTCTTTTAAATGTAATACTGTTTTGAGAAAATTTTATCAGTATATTATATGTTAATTGAAATGTAATTAGTTAATTAAGCATTATATTAAACATTGTAGTTTGATTAAATGTATTCACACTTTAATAAAAATGTTAAGCATCAACTTTTAATTTAAACGCTAATGTGAAACATTTCTAAAATCTTAAATATCTAGCAATTGGTTCAATCAATGTTCACATCTTATATTATATGATAATAGACTGAATCGTTGCACTCCTTTCACCGCCTCTGTTGTCAATGTTTGAAAAATATTGCAAATCTTTATTCTTCCACTAAATTTGACTTCAAGTCTATTATATATTCAGTGCCACTGAATAACAACATGTAAAACGAGAGAGAGAGAGAGAGAGAGAGAGAGAGAGAGAGAGAGATCGACTAAATCTGCATTGAAGTGAATTTTATTTGATTTTGTTTCCACTTTTTCACATCTGTTTCTCTAAAATATTTGTCTGAAAGAAGTTATGAAACAAAATGCAGACAAAACACTAATATAAAGATATTTGTTGACGTATTCGTAGTTTTGATCAATCATTTGGTTTCAGTTTATCTTTATATCAGAAAGTTATGAAACAATACAAATAAATTTTAATAAAGCCTTCAAATATTAATTAAAAGGGATTTCTATAATTAAAAAAATATATTTTTATACAATGAAATCGGTTTAAAATAAAGGGCGGATTTGAAAAAGATTTGACAAATGAAATGTTTTAAATAAAAATTTGTGACAGAATAGAGTATTAAATAATGGATTAGAGTATTAAATAATGGATTAGAGTATTAAAAGTATTTTATGTGACAAATACTTTAATCTCATTAATTTATAGATATGTTTGTTTTCAATGTTTTTATTTTATTTTTCATAAATTCTGCAATAAATAAAATTCAAATAAATGTTAATATTAATGCAACAGATTTTTAAGAAAACAATAAAAATAAACTTGTTTGTTAAAAAATAAATTTAATTATTATATAATTAAAATTAGTCCTAACATTATTTTCAATATTAATTAGTGAAAGTTTATTATTTGTATCAAATTATATAAAAGACATTAAATTAAAATGAACAAATTATAGAATAACATGTTATTGCAATAATGTAAATGACACTTGAAACAAATTGATTGCTTTTAAATGAAGTTGAATAATGAAAAGTTTGTTTAACTACAACTAAAATGACTGCAAAGCATGTGTTTTGTGGTTCTTTGTAAGGCTTATGCATATTCTGTGTCTCTCTTAAGCCGATTAAGTTCTCTGTGAGATGTGTTTTGGCACTAAATTTATTGATGTATTCGTGTTTATTTGTATTCATTTAAGTTTCTAAACATTTTAACATTTGAAAGTAAATGTAAATTTAATTTATTTCACAAAAAACAAGTTTAAATGAATTGTTGAACACATTTAAAGATTATGTTAAGAATTCTGTATTTAAATGTTTTAAGAAATGAAAAGAAACTCAAGTTATGGTTAGATATAAATATATTAAGAATTGTGTGCCCAACACAACCGTAAGGTTAGTGTCTAAGAAAATATGTTATGTTATGCTATATTATAGTATATTATGCCTCCTTTTTGCAACCGTTATCTCATTTCCACACAACTGAACTTTGGCTCCACTTATATATAAGAGTCAAACAAATTATAGACTAGTATTGAGTTGAGGGGATGTCTGTATGTCTGTCAACATTCTCTACACAAGAATAAAGGTTTGAAAAATTGATTGATATTCATTTCAGANTGAACTTTGGCTCCACTTATATATAAGAGTCAAACAAATTATAGACTAGTATTGAGTTGAGGGGATGTCTGTATGTCTGTCAACATTCTCTACACAAGAATAAAGGTTTGAAAAATTGATTGATATTCATTTCAGATTTATTATATATTCGGTATTAATACTATTAATATAAATTCGTTAATATAAGTATTTATATTATTTCGTTATATTATTTATCGAATCTAATTAGAAAGTTATAAATAATATGAGCCTTAAAGAACCAGATAGGCGCTAGCTATTTTTATTTAATTAATAATTTCACTCAGAATCCAATTATTCATAAAATATTCATAGGTTTACGGTAAGATAGTAATTATAACTTATCAGAGTATAAATAAAATATTACTAATTATTTATATATAAAAATAGCTAGCGCCTATCTGGTTCTTTAAGGCTCATATTATATATAATTGAATGAATTTCTTACATTGATTTAATTAATTTAATTATAATAATTTTTTGTGATAAATTTTTTACAAATATAGTAGAATATGACTTAAATGAGCATTTAATGATGGATTTTGCGATCAAATATTTAAAGATTCAAAATGTTGTTCAACTCATTCCTCTCATTAGAGTTTCATTTTTGCCAACATTTGTGTACTAAGAAAAGGACATAAAAGTGAAAAATGAGTTAAAAATAATCGATTATTGATGTGATGGCAACTATTCATCACAATTCTGAATAAACTCTAATTTTTTAGAAAAAATACTATATTTATACAATAAATATGATAACCCATAGTAACTATAAGGTATAATGTAGTGAAAACTTTAAAAAACTAAATTTCTTAGAAAATAAATTTTGAATCACTTATGGATCACATGAAGACCTGAAGGGATTTCAAAAGAATCAGTTTAATTGAATGCAAACAAAATGGACTGAAATTACATATTATAGAAAGTAATACACGAATGGGAATTCAAATGCTTTACTTATTTATGTCTAAATAAAAAGTTAGTTTTCAGACAAGAAATAACAATAACATATTTATATTTAATAAATAAAAACTTTTATTATTTAATCATTTTTAAGCTCACAAAAACAATGTTATAATTAATGTTAAAAATATATTTATAACAAATGATTTGTATTATTTACAAAATTAAACAAAATAATGATTTTTGTTGAAACTTGGATCAAGAAACTCATTAAGTTTTCTTAAATAATGATAAAAAGTTCGGTATTAACTTATTAACACATTTGTCGTATTTTTAATTGATTTAATAAACAATTGATTTATTGATAATAAACAAAATTTGTTTACTAATAAAAACAATTGGCATCACAATACTATTTAACATAAAGACAGCAATGATTTAGCTTTTATATTCTTATATTCTCTTTCTGCTGACAAAACACTTTTTATTGATCTCGTATTTGTCTGAATAATATTATTTTAGGGAATTTGCTGTTTATCTCAAGAACTTATTGAATAATAAATTAGTTTTCTGTTATGTAGTGTACAGTGAAAGCTATAGACTGGCAGTGGATTCGCAGTGATTGTAGCGATTGTCGTAAACTTTAATTTCACATTCAATTCATCAAAATATGGAAAACAGATTGCATTTTAATATATAAGTGAAGGGAAAAGCTTTTCAAGTGTTTGTATTGTATGGAAACATAATATAAGAAATAATAATATTATATAATATGTGTTGAATGTCTTCCTAGTACTCAATCAGATATGAAAGATTGCGGTTTCCCTACACACAGAACATGCTATCATTGCTATCATTGTCTGCTATTAGTATCACAAATAGCCTTAACTTAACATTATATGAGATTCTATAAAATGATTGCTGAGAGACCGCTGTAGTGGCGGTCAGTGCTATGGCTATGGATGATGAGTGCCAACGGCTGTCTCGAGTCTGAGAGATGTATTGAAATTGTAATCAATTCTATCAATAAATATATGGTTTCTATTAATCTTTATGTTATGACAATTGTATTGAGACATAAAAATAGAAATTTAAGTCAATGTCTATCACAGCGAGTCTTCTTTATGAATATTGTTTTGTTTTTGTCTGAGTTTCGCGATTCTCGTGCGAACTATACGTAAGTGTTTTCTGATGTACTCCTCATTGGGTGCTAATGAGGACACTTCCAGCAAACAGTCCTCCGCTCTCTCCAGTTCCTCTCTCTCCACAAAAACCACACACAAGTTATGTCTTCCCTGAATGTTTGTCGCGTCGAGTCTAACGATCTTTTTATAGCATTCCTCTGCGGCCTCCAAGTCCTTCACATGATTGATATAAATGTCTCCGAGAAGTATGAGACCTTTGATGTGATCGGAATGATGTCTCAGCAATTGCTTCAGGAATGGCACCGCTTCGAGGGGTCGGCCCGTGTCTGACAGGAGAAGCGCCAAATTGAATGTCGCGCTCCGGAAGTCATGCTTCAGATGAATGGCAGCCCTAAACCACTTCTCGGCGTTGGGATAGTCTTTGGCGTCCATCGAAAGCATTCCTAAGTTAAAGTAAACCCTTTCGTTGGCCTTTCCGTTCTCTATGAGGAACTGTAGTCGTTGTTGAGCTAAAGGGCGCAACTCATGGCTACCACTCTCTTGGATCAAAATCGCGGAATTCATGAGAGATTGTTCGTGCGATGGATTCAATTCCAGCGCTTTATTGAAGTAAACCAAAGCCTGTGTTGCTTTCGACTGTTCCAGTAATACAACGCCTAACTGTTTGTTGGCAACAATTTATGGCAAAAAATATATCAAAATTATTATTAAATCAATACATTAGACGCGCGCGAAGTCCACTCACATTATAATAGATATCAGGATTGGAAGAATCAAATTGCAGGGCTTTCTCGTAGACCTCCTGTGCTTCTCGGGTGCGGTTCATCCTAATCAAGATATCGCCCCGATTTATGTAGGCCTGAGTATAGTCGGCGCGCATACTGATGGCCTGTCTGTAGAGAGCATCGGCCTCTTCCAGACGCGATCTGTTTCTTGCGATCAGATTTGCTAAATTGAGAAATACATTCAAATGAGACGGCGCTACCCGCGCTTGATATCGTTCCCCAGGTCGCGGTCGCGGCAGTAGGTCTTTGGCCCTATTGAACGCCTGTTCCGAGAGTTCATATTTATTGAGATTATTATAAGTACGGCCGACATTCATATGGGCGCCGATGTCGTCGGGCTGGACGTCGATGGCTTTGAGGAAGTACTGCAGGGCTTCGGTGTACTTGTGTTGGCCCTCCAAAGCGTGTCCGACATTGTTATATAACTTTGCGTTTCGTTTATTGATTTTAATTCCGGCCATAAATATAGTGTATTCCGACTCCCAGTCATAGTTTCGTATAAAGGTTTTGATTGAATGAAAAATTAAGACAAAAATCAAAACCGAAACTAACAGTCGTTTCTTTGTGGTCGACATGCTTTTGGAGACATTTGTCTTATCTTGAGATAATTTGTGATAAATTCTGTGAAACCCGACCCCAAAAAGCATACAAAAGCCAAACGATGGCATATATAGTATACGTTCGGCGATCACAAACCCGACCGGAAAGAAGAGATTAGAGGCCGGGAGGAAAGGGAACACAATGAACGCCACACTAATGATAAGTACTTGTGATTGCATTGTATTGTTGGAAGTAAAGGCATTCCAAACCAATACCGCAAATATCACATAAAAGACAATTGTGGCCACATTTCGCACGTCTGAATAGGACTCTATCAACGGAATGGAATTCATAGTCCAATCACAGCACAGGCCGTCCGGGAATAACAGCAGCCATCCATTCATTGGTAACATAAAATTCAAAGTCAATTGACGGGCAGGTGTGGGCGCAGAGTTGGCCGGGTTGTCAAACCTGTCATAAAACACGCAACACATGTATCAAACACTTTAGATTTGTGATACGAATCAAACAATTACTTCGTAAAGACCGGCAATTGTGAGCCCATTATCCTAAGCCGAGTCATTATCATGAGACAAGTGGCGGCAAATAGCACCGACAGTCTTAGGAAGGACTCTCTGAGCCATGAAGGGGGTGACGCTTTAGATGTCATCAGATTTTGTGCCACAAAAAATAAATTTGAAAGATTTAGCTGCGGGTCCGGGAGATTAAATAAATGCCGTTTCAATAATTGTGATAAAAAACAAATCTCAAGTGAAAACTCACTCTTTGAGCGATGAATACTTCATAGACACCACAAATGGCAATGGCTGTGAATTGTTTGAAAAGTTGCAAGATAATTAATTGCAAAGTTTGTATTGTTTGTAAAGTTTGTATTAAGTGGTGCTGTATTTGTTTCATTCATTACCTGTGATGCCCTGCTCTTTAGAGAGGGTCGCCATAGAGACTAATGCGATGGATAGCAGAAACCACATCCACTCTGAATGAAATTTAGAGCAAAATTTAATGATAAAAACGCTTAGACTATAAGTACAAAAAACTATAACAAAAGTTACAAAAAGTGGTAACAGCTTGAAAATTGCCAACATTTTAATGTGATTTCAAATTAGTTTTTGTGCATAACTTTGTAAAAGTCATAACTCAAACCCTTATTATACATAAAAAATTTTAACTTCGTTCAAGATTTCACTTTCGATTAATGTTTTAAAAACAATGAACTCTTTATAATAGAAATGCATTCAAAACTATTATTTATATAAAGAACTCAAATATAATATATCAATATTAATATCGCAATATTGTTTCGGGAAACAAGTTTTCATATACAGTATTATAACAAAATAACTAATTATACGAAACATAACTGAATCAGCTAATAAAATATTTACAATAAAGTATTTTTAATTAATGATTGTTTGTAAATTTGTATGTATTTATATTTAATAACTGTACCATAGTTTGCAAGGGGTTAGAGTGAGGGAATAGATACTCGGTTGAGTGGTTTACCTGTTTTGGTCCTATGTTTGGTTGCCCTGACATATGCCAAAAATGCTAATAAGAAGAAAATTGATGACAATGTCTCAGCCCGTCCTACAACACTTGTCACCGCTTCTGTATGTATGGGATGTACGCTATTTATATGATATGAAAGCAAATATATTATGCCATTTAATATAGTTTTGTAAATAGAGTTATTAATAGGAATTATATTTTGAAAGTGAAATCACAACTCATATCATACCTGAAGGAAAGACTGGATATTAACGCAGCGATTGATGGCATAAATAAATTACATAATCTATAGGATTATATCACAACATTAGTTTCTGTAATGGCTTTTGGAAAATAAAACTAAAACTCAATTACCGGTTATATATAAGGCATACAATCACATGTAAAACAACATTTACGATATGATAACCCATTGGATTGAGTTCATGAATTAAATAATTGAGACGAAATGTCAGGACACAGAGGGGTCGGTACGACTGGAAGTATAGTTTTGGGGGAAATCATAACGATTAGTGAATATATTGATTGAATTTGTGGTCGAAATGCATACCTTATGTGACTGTTCCTGCAAAATGGAAATAAAATATACGAACATTAGTTGTAAAGTAATTCAACAAAAGTTAGTTTTTTTAGAAATATATTATATTTTGATTCATTAGATAAGGAATGAATGGTTGAGTGAATGAATGATTTGGAGTAATATATCGAAAACAAAAGGCACTACTTCTCCACTGAATCTTATTTTGTGTGTTTGGTTTGGGTTTGGGTTAGAATTGTTTCTATTCATTGACTGTTGGTTTTCAAGAAGACAAATGGACAGTTAGGTTGGCATCGCCTGATGGCATTCATTTGTTGGCGACTCTACTACTAAAGTGGATGTGAAGAGAGTTTCTCTAACTGAGAGACACTCTCACTCTCAGCCATACACTCCATCAGGCCTTACATCCAAAGCTAACACGAAGAGTAAAAGTAAGAGTAAGAGTGACCTAAACTCACAGTTTGTCTATCGAGAGAGGGATGGGAGAGTTCGTCTAACGAAGTTATTGAGCCATAAAAAGCTAAATTCGTTTTTCAATATAACGACAAAATAACGATCAGTCGATCTGTCGATCTGTTATGATTTGACCACTTCTGGAAGGAAGTGAAGGGAAAGGGAAGGCAAGTAAGCACTCGATTATAATATCGACGATTCGCTCCAATCGGACAAATCAGACAATATTAAAGACGTCGTGAGATCTATACAAACGCATTGATTGATAAACTCAACGCTCATATATTATCGTTAAGATTGCACAGCAAAGTATAAGACTATACAGTACTGTATACCATAGCAAACCATGGCATACCATACCATACCATACCTTAGTCATTCCCTGTCCCCAAAAGTCATTAAGAAAAAGTTGCGATAAAGGCGTTCGTGGTCTCAGATCTCTGTTATCCCGAATGGCAGACATGTCGTCGAATGCAAAACCACAGCCAAAGGAGTTGATATAAATGCCAAAAGAGACTAATGCTATCAATAAGAAGTGCCATCGGGGAGGACTGTCCTCCAAACCATCACTCCATCTTCGCATTTGACCACAATTTAACAGATCTGGTGAAGGGGTAGACATACGACTCATATTGGCTGATGTGTTCTCACTATTGTAAAGACCATTCACCTGAAAGACAATCATTTACTTGTTAATTCATCAGTCATTGTATTCATTATTCTTAAGTCTAATTATAGTAAAAATTTATAATTATAACACAATATGATTGTTACAAAATGTTTGCGTGAATTTGTGTGTGAGTAATGTAAGCAACATAAAAATTTTGTTAGTAAAACAAATTACCGGCAAAATATTTATTCATTAAAATAAAGCCATAGCATAGCAACTTGCAATAATTAGCATTAAAGCAATATTTAACGAATCTTAAATATTAAATTATAGTTGTTAAATTCGTATAATTGCAATATTCTATATGATTGAATATAAGAAATGTGAAAAGTAAAAACAATTTAATGTATGTACAGTAGTACAAAAGTTAAAAAAGCAAAATTATCTGATCAACAAAACAATCAATAATTGAGTGTTTTTGCAAATCTCAGGCACAAAATGTTTATTAAAATTAAAATTAATGAATATTTAATATACTGTATTTAGTTAATTGCACTGAAATCAAATAATAAACAAAAAGAGCTCAATTTGAACACATGAATGTAGAGCTCATTACATATTCATAATAATAATAATCAACACCACAATCGCTCTCAATTGATAAAAACAGCAAAATTAAAGCATCCGTTTTATGGCAATATTATGTAGACATGGAGTAACCAATAATCAGACGATTGCAATAAAAGCATTTTGAGATATTTGAAGAATAAATCTCATCTATTTATACTTTTCATATCTAATACTGTATCTACAGATAGAAGTATTCACATAAGTTATTTATATTATTTATATGAATACATATTACAGAATATGATAACAATACATATAAATATACTTTTATTATATTCTGTATTAGGTATATCGTTGTGATGATATATCGTACGGTATATGAGCTACTANAGACTAATGCTATCAATAAGAAGTGCCATCGGGGAGGACTGTCCTCCAAACCATCACTCCATCTTCGCATTTGACCACAATTTAACAGATCTGGTGAAGGGGTAGACATACGACTCATATTGGCTGAAGTGTTCTCACTATTGTAAAGACCATTCACCTGAAAGACAATCATTTACTTGTTAATTGATCAGTCATTGTATTCATTATTCTTAAGTCTAATTATAGTAAAAATTTATAATTATAACACAATATGAGTGTCACAAAATGTTTGCGTCAATTTGTGTGTGAGTAATGTAAGCAACATAAAAATTTTGTTAGTAAAACAAATTACCGGCAAAATATTTATTCATTAAAATAAAGTAAAGCCATAAAGCCATAGCAACTTGCAATAATTAGCATTAAAGCAATATTTAACGAATCTTAAATATTAAATTATTGTTGTTAAATTCGTATAATTGCAATATTCTATATGATTATATATAAGAAATGTGAAAAGTAAAAACAATTTAATGTATGTACAAAAGTTAAAAAAGTAAAATTATCTGATCAACAAAACAATGAATAATAGAGTTTTTTTTGGAAATCTCAGGCACAAAATGTTTATTAAAATTAAAATTAATGAATATTTAATATACTGTATTTAGTTAATTGCACTGAAATCAAATAATAAACAAAAAGAGCTCAATTTGAACACATGAATGTAGAGCTCATTACATATTCATAATAATAATAATCAACACCACAATCGCTCTCAATTGATAAAAACAGCAAAATTAAAGCATCCGTTTTATGGCAATATTATGTAGACATGGAGTAACCAATAATCAGACGATTGCAATAAAAGCATTTTGAGATATTTGAAGAATAAATCTCATCTATTTATACTTTTCATATCTAATACTGTATCTACAGATAGAAGTATTCACATAAGTTATTTATATTATTTATATGAATACATATTACAGAATATGATAACAATACATATAAATATACTTTTATTATATTCTGTATTAGGTATATCGTTGTGATGATATATCGTACGGTATATGAGCTACTATTTAGACCAAATTTTAGAGTAAAGAGTAAATAATATATAAATTATATTATATAATAGTAATAATATAAAATATTATTGTCTGAAGAATTTCTTAAGAAATACTGTAGTGTTCTCAGAATAATTTCAAATATCAAAACTACACGGTAACTTAATTTATTTTAAATTTATAATATTTTGATGATATAAGAGATTGTAAAAATAAACAAGGCAAAGAATTTCTTAAGAAATGCTGTAGTGTTCTCAGAATAATTTCAAATATCAAAACTACACGGTAACTTAATTTATTTTAAATTTATAATATTTTGATGATATAAGAGATTGTAAAAATAAACAAGGCAGACCATTAGTATAGAGAAAAAGGAGTGTAGAGTGTTTGGCATTTGGTAATTATAAGCGGCTAATCAATAATCTTTATGTAAGAGTTAATAAGTGTGTGTTTAAAACAAACACATAAGAGATTATCGATTACAGTGAAAATAGAGAAAAAGGAGTGTAGAGTGTATGGCATTTGGTAATTATAAGCGGCTAATCAATAATCTTTATGTAAGAGTTAATAAGTGTGTGTTTAAAACAAACACATAAGAGATTATCGATTACAGTGAAGCAAATGAAATAAAAAAGAAATTTTCGATAAATATTTGAAATTCAAATGAAAAACATTTTGTGTCAATAAACAGAAATAAGCAAAAGATTTGTTTTAATATTGATTATGAAGTGAAGTAAAAGTTTCGTCCAGAGAGAATGGGAAGACATAAGAGTTTAATAAATAGTTGTAGAGTTCATAAAAAGCTTTTTGTGTTGGCATTGATTTGTCGATATGTAGTGAAAGGGAATGAGTGATCCTTTTGGTTGATTAAATTCGGTGGACTCCTCTCAAAGTGATTCCAGGCCTGACTGACCACTAAATGACCGAAACGAACGAAACTCGAGTGCATTTCAAGTCAATAAACTAAAGTAATACAAGTCTTTATAAAAAGCTAATGTTTAGGAAATGGAGCTTTTCTGATGGCTCCACCAATACATTACCTAAAGCTTAATATACAGTAAACGACTGTATTCTCTGTAATAATAATAATAATAATAATGATCTCATACTCATTATAATAAACTTTCAATTTGTCATTCAATCAATTAATTCAATGCAATCATAAATTATAATTATTAAGCAAATCATAAATAATAAAACGCTTTAAAACGTGTTATTATTTGGGAAATTTCAATGATTTAGTTGTTACTATGTTTAAAGTGAATGAATGAACAAGTTTTTAAAAATATGAATAAATATTGAATACAATGTTATGAATTAAGCTAATGAATAGCATGTAGAGTATGTGTGCGCCGGTGAGCGCTGGTAGTTATAGTCTTATCTATAGATATTTAATGCGAATACTTGTGTTTGCATTACTTTTTTAGTTTGTTTTCAAGTCTCGGATTCAATGCATTATTCTTTATGGAGGAATTCAATGCCGCAAAATCAATGTTTTTTATCTCTAAAACATTTTTAAAGCCCCGGGGTATAGGGGTATCAGTATTTCTTTTGCAGTTGCAGTTGTAGTACGTTTTTTGCTGCCAAATCCCTGAGAGTGTGTTCATCACAAGCCATGCCATACGATACGGTACGGTATGGACACTATCATAGAGTGACAGCATTTGTGCGATACATATGAGAAAGAAGTCAAGAGAGAAGGCATACGAAAGGCATTGCATTATATTATACGGTATTATATAATATAATACAAGAATTGTAAGTAAAGCCTCTCTTAATCAAGTGATACGGCATTGCAATAGAAAATGCAATACTTTTTACAGTTATATGAAAAACACATACAAAAACTGCTCGACAGGAGACTTGACTTTAAATGTAGTTCCGTTTTGTTAATACATTCACAAAATTCTCGATTAAAAGAGTACGTAAAATAAGATACAGTGGCAGACAATACCAGTGCAAGTGCTCGGGTTTGTGTGCATACATAATGACATGAGTGCCGAGAATGTCACACAACACTCACTACACTCTACACTCGCTGTCTGTTTTAAGCTCCACTGAAATTCACTGACACTTTAATTATCAGCAGCTCTTTGGGCTTTCAGATTGTCATTCAAAACACTTCCAACATTTCCAAACAAAAAACCCTCACATCTCTCTCTCTCTCTCTCGCTCTCTCTCTCTCGACTTACAGTGAGTGTCATTAACGGCCAGCCCTACCAACTAATTAGGGAAATGAAGTTTTCCGCAAGAAAATAACGACTCAACAGTTTATTTCTACATAAATAATAGTTTGAGAAAAAAATGTGTTTCAATTTTAAAACTAATGAAAACATTGTTATCCCTAAACTCCTAATATCTCACCCAATAATCCTCCGAAACTAACTTTTATATTAATTTTAATCTTTTAAACTCGAGTTTAATGTAAATGTAAGACTCAGACGACAACATCACACAAAATAATGTAAGACAGACCGTAATGTTAAGCAAAATGTAATGCAAATTATATGTTTGTCTCAAGACTACTACTCGTCTGAAGTAAAGTCGATTGAAAAAGTAATTTCTTTGCCAAACAATTCTAAATAATTAAACGATTGAAAATGCAAACACTTTTCAACGTTTATAATTTGCTCTCATTTTGTATGTACTCTTGTTATTTTTTTTGAACAATTTTTTCGATCCGATAATTAACTGAGACAATAAGATTACAAAATAATAACACAAAACACAGAAAATAGAAACACATAATGGAAATGCTCATCAATTCAAACATTCAATTGTGTATTGAATTTAATATTGAAAACATGACATCTTTTCGAGTGTAAGCTTTTGTCATAAACTCAATGTTTGGTCACGAATACTAAAAAAATAATCTAAAAAAGCAATTATAGTATTATTCCGACACTCGCTATAGTTTCAGTCCTTTTGTGTTTGAATCTAATAATATTCTCGTAATAGAAAACATTGATTTAAACATTCAATTCATTAAATGCTTTAATTTAAAACCTAAGCTCCAACTAAAGCCTTTAGAGTTGTTAGAGTTTATCTAAAACAACTGTTTGTCCTCAAAGTTTGTCTTTAAAATTTGTTTGAATCACGTTTCAGGAGAAACTCAAATTTGGTAATACTCTGCTCACAAAGAGTACTCACTTTTGCATTTCACATTCAATTCATATCAAAGGTGACCACAACAAGAATACATACTTTTTCTCAATATCATTAACAAATAGTTGTTTTGAAGTTAACTTTTACACTAATAGTAAAAGATTTTTCAATTTATTAAATATGAAGTGAATTCAACTAAAATAGTGACATATATTTCCCTCGGGGGTTGTGAGCAGCAATGGTTCCTTAATAGTGGTCATCACTGGTTATAATATTCTAATTCTTGTACTGAATTGGGAATTGGGTTGAAATGAATTTAAATGCTGAGAGGGAGAGAGAGAATAGTCGATAAAATTGGGGCAAAATTTGAGGGAAAGTGTTGATAAAAGTGAACACAAAAAATAGAAATTCATTTATTCGAGAGACAGTTGACAGAAATGAGCGAAATTTCAATTTTGGCAAATAATTAAATATTACATTAATCTAATAATAGAATTAATAAATAAATTTTAATAATGTTTAGGCGAATAACAAAATAATAATATCAATAAAATAGCGCTTTTATTATAGGAGATAAACGTTTGATATTATAATGAGTAGAATCGAGAGGAATATGAAATGAATGGAAATAGAGATCAGAATTTAATTTAATATTTCGACTATTGTTTGGGTTTTATCCACACATTTGTATAATAAGGCTGTGAATAGAGATGTGAATGAAAATTAGAGAGAAATAGCAAACGAGATGATCGTCACGTATTAATCAAATGTTGACCAGAGATGTGATGCCATGAAAGGAGGCAGCGATCCAACAGATCCGTCGCATCAACACATCAACACAAACAACAATTTAAGTTCAATGCAGTGTTAAAATTAAAATCAAAACCTGTCACCAACACTGACAACACCAACTCATGTGTGTATGTGTGTGAGGGCACAGACAACGGCACCGACAACTTCACGAAACATTCATCACAACCAAACTTTTAAAGTATAACAATATTTTGATTACACGACAAAACTTCAGACTCAATAACTCTCTAATAAGAGTTTTGTCTCTTTATCGTCAGTAATATCTTTACAAAAAACATGAAAATCTCAAATCAACACAATTGTATAGCTTTAGGCCCAGACATTCATTTCACTGTAAATTTGGTTCATTTATCATACGAACACATATTACAAGACTTTATGGCAGAACGCCTTCCCTCTCGATCTCAATGTTTTCCATATTGTGATCATCTCTTCAATTATTGTGTTATCATACTGTATGTGTAAAAGGTATGCCTAAACTCCAATGGTTGTACAGTATTAGGCTATTCAATACGAGACACCGACAATCGTTGGGGATATTTTAAATTTGTGTGAATGATATGAAATGAAATCTCTTTCTCGTGTTGTATTGTTTCGGTTGAATGCATTGAAATTAAATGTAACGCAAAGTCAAATACAGAATAGTTGTCTACCAGTGCCTCAAATACCTTATCCTCAGTGCGGATGACTGATTTTCAACAAGCAATTTTTAACTCAATAACTGCATTCAATTAATTGCAAATCATTGCTTCAAACTGTGGATCAAAACAAAACTCAATCGGTGTATAACTTATTAAAAGAATATTTTCTTTTTATATAAATCATATGTTTTCACGAATATTCTGCTCACGTTTGCTGTGTTTCGGATACACAAGAAAATTGAGTGCTTTTATCATAACATTTCACTCTCAGTGGGGCTATAGTTTGAGCGATGATTTTTGAAAAAATAAGCAAAACCTGGCGTTTGTTAGACTGTATCGAGAATAGCGGGTAATTCTCGAAAAATACTTATATAAAGCTGGCAAACGGGGTGTCCATAAATTACTGGATAAGTTTAATGAGAAAAGGCTCGACCATAGAGTGCAGGGTATAGACTGCCATATCTCGGGGTTAGTCAGCAGGCATTCCGCGAGAGTCATGAAAATTAATCGCTTTTTGGCTAAAACTAAATGAGAAGACATTGCGAAGCGAAGCTCTATTGAAAACATTTGTACTTTACTTTCAGACACTAAGAAAGTTAATTATAATGAGAACCTCAGATGGGAAGGGGTGTCTGTCTAGTGATCACATTCTTCTTACATAAATACATTCAAACTCTCATAATAGTCATTGTTATGAATGAGTTTATCAATTGAGTGTAGCCTACATCTAGTCCGTGAATGCCATGGTATATAAATGTCATGAAATGCCAACCATTTGCTGATCACACAGTATATTGCATTCATTTTGTAAAATAAATAGATATTAGTGTGCATTGAGTCGAGTATTGAGATAAGTGTAAATTTTATCGGATTCATGCCAATGTCTGTACTATTATAATGTTTTTTATGACATATCTTTTAAATAAACAAACCATTATATACTCAACTAAACTAACAGTATATTATTGTCAGACTCGGCTATAGCCCATAATTTTGCGAGTTTTAAACTAAACTATTTCTCGTTTGAGAGACAAATAATATATCTTTTGTTATGCTATTGTATCACAAATAGCTTAAACTCCTATATAATTTATATTCAACTTTATTTTTGTATTATATATGGAATCAAATAATTAAATCTAAGATTAATAACATTTTGACTAATATTTCAAAATCAATAATTAAAGGGGAATTTACTTTCGGATAATAACTGGTGTTAAGTCTAAAATGTTTTTAATTAAAAAAAGCTGAAGAAAAATGCATTTCAAGAAAAAAGTAAACATTATAAAAAAGTTAAAATAACTTATAGCACAGTATAGGCTGAACACAATAAATTGAAAAGTGTTTATAATAATAAGCCCGGAGCTAATCGGCAATTTGAGAGTGGAGTCCAACCCAAACCCTGAGGTCTTTAATTTTATTTTATTTTCTCGAAAAAAGTTAGAAAGTTATGTCTCATGTCTGCCGTTTGCCTGAGCCTACAGTTCCAATGGATGGCATGATTGGCAACAATTTAATCCGAAATCGCTTCCATTCATTATCTCAAACACTCAAACACTTTAACTAACTATTACTCTATTATGTAATAATAATGTGAGAAATGTTTGTATTCTTTATATCATTCTATTAAATGAACACAAATTAAGAGTTTAGTTATTTTCGATCATATCTTTCGAGAATTCAAATTAAGTCAACCAAACCATAAATATTACATTATTTTCAATTATTTTAGAGATTGTTTCAGTTTAACAAAACGTCAGAGAGAGAGAGAGAGAGAGAGAGACGTGTTTAGATGTGATGCACGAAAAGTTATTGCAATAATTATGTCCGAAATCGATCACATACTCCATACCACTATTACTACAGTACTATATTCTGTATGTATGTATCGCTTGAGGTAATGGAATAGCTTTCACTTATTGGAAACAAATTTAGTTAATATTGTGTACAATAAATACTGTATATTATATAAAAGTCAACGAATTTAATATATTTCATGGAATTTATCAAAATATTTTGCTTGAGATAAACTTGAATTCTGTCTAAAAATGCATCGAAAATAAGCTAAAAATGGGTATTAAGTGATTAAATTGGGAGAACCAGTGGTGACGAGTATTATTGAATAAAGAATTACAAGAATAGCGTAATATTAATATGAAGTGAAAGGCAGGTATAGTGAGAGCTAAACCAGTGATCAGTTTTTCAAACTAAGCAAAGACTGAACAAAACAGTAAAAAAGTTAAACAAGTTATGTAAACATTGTTCACAGCAATTGTATACATTGTTCGCACAGTTTGTATGTCTGACTCCACTATACACTGTATGTGCACTACTGATGATTAAAACTTTTTTCGTCCCATAAGAGGCTTAATGTTATAATAGAAACGGTTTGACTGTTTGCTGAGAATCTCCTCGAGACCAGTCTTGATGGCAACGATAGCAACGATACCACTGACGCCCACCAGTGACCCCATACTTCTCTATCAAAACCTATGCAGTACTTCAATACAATTGACTTTAAAACTCCAAACTCGAAAGAAATGCCAAAAAAGCAATGCCTCGACTTTTTTGATGTTTCACTTTTCCCAGAAAAATAAGTGAATACTCAATAAGACATACATTGAAAGTGAAGACTCCGACGTACAAGTTCACAAACTCACGATAAGGCCCTAAGCATTGAATTTATTTTCTAACAAATGCTCACAAGTCTTAAAAAGTTTAAGAGTAGACCAGTTTAGAAGCAAAGCATAAGACAATATTTACGTTAAGGCTATTTAAACACTATTTGTGTCCCTGTCTTACAACGAATGGCATAACCATTCATTCAAAGCCAAAGAGTATAATATAAACACAAGTTTTATATATCATTCAAACGAACCATTTCTTGGAAGATATGGTCGTCGGACACAAAGACTAGTATTTCAAATATACTACATCTATGTACTTCTCCATCATATCTGCTCCAAACATTCAGTATGCTCTCTCTCTCTCTCTCTCTCTCTCTCATGACATTAACTTAAGAATATTAAATTGCTCAAATAATAGTAACTTTAACAATCTTTTAATTAAACAAACATTAACTATGTTTAAATTTGACGTTGAAATGAGTTTGTTTTCAAAATTAAATAGATTATTTTGGAAATAAAATAAATTTTAAATAAGTAATATACTGTATATAAATGCTGGGAAAAGTTTGCACAAAAATAAATTGCAAATCAGAATAATGTGATGCCCTATCATTAGGGGTGGAACTCATGCTTTTTGTTGAAAACATGTATTATTTTGTCTATAAATTCCAATATAACTCTAAACTAAACTCCAGTGCATATACTGTATACAGTAGAATGACTGTAACATTCTGTGGTAATGCATACAATACCGTATTATAGCATTGATATTATGTAATATAGCGATATGTATAGTATATATAATACTGAAGTTTACAATGTACTGTATAAAATGTTAAATATAGCTAATAAAACAGAAAACATAGAATATATCAATAATAAAGAATTGCATTATAATAATATTATATTGTGAAACGTAAAGATTGCATAACTGATTGACAAAGAGTATAAGTAGTAACTAGAAAATGATTGGGAGTTTTCTAACGAGATGAATACCGAGATATAAAAACTATGGGCGTCTTATTGAATAGACAAAGAATATCATATAAGAATATAATATCTACAACACAACATAAATTGTTATTTACAAAATTAAGTCACATTTAATATGGTGAAATATTTTCTTTGAATGTTTTACTATAAAAATGTATAGTATAATACTTTCTAAAAGTTATAAAACCGTCAATAAAATGATTATCTAATATTACTCAAATGTAATCTCGTGTTACAGTATGTGTTTACAACATTTTTAGAATTTTTAATTTTAATTTTCTCTGAAATATTTAGTATAATATAATTAAAAATATTTGTTACTAACAAACAATTTGAAATAACAAAAATTTATTTCAGATAAATAATACAACTTATTACTAAATATAAATATTTATAAAGTTGATAATAATTTATACAATATTAAATAAAAATAATGTAGACAAAGAAAATAAGTTATTTCACTTATGAAATTATGGTATAAGTTGTGTTTTAAATGACATAAAACTAAATGAAATCAATTAGATGTGAAGTGAGAGCACCTGTTGCTTGTCTTCTAAGAAAACATTGCCATTCATTAACATCTCTTCCAACTATATATGACTGACTGAACAGAAAAGATCAGAAAAATAAAGTCCTTTCAAATACTAAAAACAACGGGTGGTATGGAATAAATGTCTTGAATGACCTAAACTGAGAGAGAAAGAGAGAGAGAGAGAGAGAGAGAGAGCTGATGTCAAATCCGGTCAAACGATAGCACATAAGAGATTTGAGTTTTAAAGCCACAAACACTTGACATTAAGTAAAATTCATTTGTTTGCATGCAATTCATCGTTTAGTGAAGAATACATGTTTTGAATTATAATTAAATGTGAGTGAAAGTGCTCTCAGAGACGCCTCCCTTCCCATCCAAGTCTTAGAAAATCTAGTTTTGGAGTTCACTTGGATCTCGAAAAACACTCGATTAAAGTTAGAGTTATTGCAAACTTTTACATCCATTTAACTTATTCTACTGCCAGAGAGAGAGAGAGAGAGAGAGAGAGAGAGAGAGAGACTTCAATAAATCATAATAAAAAATTAATGATATAATCGTTTGGTCACAAATTTTATTTAATCCGTGAATTATGTGAGAAAATAGTTTCATTTATTCTAACGTGAGTTCAAGTGATGAAAATAATGTCTAATATTTTTAACATTATATTAATATTAAACAAAAGAAGGGCTCATATCATGACATAATATGCAGAGTTGTGTTGAGGGGAACAGAGTTGAAGGCCTGGTATTACGAAATTGGAGGTCAACCTCTTTAACCTGTCAACGATTTACTGCATGTTTTGCTATGCAATGTACACCACTCGACAGCACCGGTATCTGCGTTCAAGCTGTCAACTCTTAAATCTAGGAATTCGTGCATTTGTTTGGAAAACACGAATCCCTGAAACTATTATACATTTAGATTAATAAATGAAAACTAACCAAACACTCGTATAATTTGTGTTGAACTCATGCTTTCACAAAATTCATACGAGTTTTCGTTCATTTCGTTGATTCGCTTTTGAGATTCAAATCTTATATAAGACTTGACATCAAAAGTTGTTTCCATAGGTTTCTATATATAGTATATATAGTTATAGTTATATTTCACATCATTCTAGTCATTATGCAATTATTCTTATATTTCAAACTATCTAAACAGTGCTTAACATTAATAAACGATCAAATTAAGCTAGTTTAAATGAATGTGCGAGATAAAAGTTTAGTAAATACCTTTACAAAGTGTTTGCGAACAGTTGCCATACACTCAAGAGTTGATCATAAATGGTATGAGAGTTTGGTCTTCAGACGGAACGTATGCTTTCGGTTCGCTTTCACAGTGTTTTGGATGTGAACACAACTACCTATAACTTAACACTAACTCTACTACCGTTCCGTTCATTCCGTAGACTAGCATTTCACAGCACAGCGCCGCCCATATCAGCCCATGTCATACAGTACAGCATATTTATAAAATACAAAACTTCACACAAACTGCTTTCACGGCAATCCTATCAATCGTACATGCTTACATGTAAATAAAGTGTAGTAAGCTTATAATTTTAATCAAATGTTTAATTATTTATTTCGTAAACTTTTATATACAGTACGTTATCCAGGTGAGATTCGTAAGTGTCAAATCGGCTTAATCTAATCAATATGTTTATTAATTTGATTCTCTCATCAAACTCTAAATATACAGTCAGACCACGTAATCACACATTAGTTTTGCATAATAATTATTATTCAAATAATTTGTAATCTTTGTCCAAATTGTATCAGATTATGATTACAGGTTTTTATTGTTTAAAAATTAATTAATGAAATCTTTCATTATGATATTATATACTAACAAGTAAGAATTGTGTGAATTTAGGTAAATATAATAAAGCGGTGTTTTCTATTACACAATCTAACATTGTTTCCATATTTAAACGATTTTTGGTCTTTTGTCAAAAAGTTGTCATTGTTTCAGTCAATACTATTTCTAACATGTTAATAAATAATGATTAATATTTATTTAATATTAAATCATTTTGCACACATAAAAGGAAAATGTTGATAATTTTTTATTTCATTCAAAAATATTCATTTCTACTTACAATGCAACATAATATTACAGAATGATGGAATAGCATGGTCATTTGAGCAATATTTATGTGTATGACACGATTGCTTGTATTGACTGATTGATTGTATGTATTATTTAAAGTGAAGAATTTATGATCCTATGTCTGACAACAAATTGGATCAATGGATACAATGCTCTCAAATCTATGCGATTGGTATTCATTGACTTAATTAGTGGAGCACTTAGAGTAGGAATGAGGCGATGATTTGACATCACTTAATATATGGAGAGAGAGATTGACTAATAAGTGAACACAAAAAGAGTGACAAAAAAGATTGAGACAGAAATCAGTGACAATCAGACGCAGAACACAGCCATCGATGAAGTCGTTGTCATTCTTTCTTTGGATCAATTGTTATATTGTATTGTATTTGAGCCTCAATTTAGTAGATCCCTAAGCCCTGCAAATGTTATTCAGGACAATAGGATTTCATATTAAGTTACCGATACGTTAGGGTTGGCGTTAGGGTTTGTTAGGCTGTGCTCCGCAATAGTGTTGTAATAGTTGTTTGGAATAAAGAATCGCAAGAATCGAGAATAAGTGGATTTGCGAGCGAAAGGCAAAGCCATCACAAACTAAAATAATCGCCAATAAGACCAACAAAACTAACGTCTCCTCACAATAAAGACTGCAAGAAATGATCAAAAATAAAAATACTAAATGCCAACAATAGGTATGTATTTGAGTTGAAAATATTGCCACACTTTTAGCTCAATAAAAGTGGGATCATAGCATAAGATTAGATCAAACATCAAAAATTAGATCCAATTCAATGAAGACAATCAAATTGCTTGCAAACCATTGTTTTCCTTAAACTCTACAAAACCATATATTTTTTCTATAAGTTTGCGTCTCTTTCTCTCTCTAATCCTATTTGAATGGAATCTAATGTAATGACAAAGCATTAGATTATTCTTTCAAATGCATTATTATAATGTTTTTGAATGTAAAGGTAAGTGACTTCTCATCAAACATTCAAGACCTCAATACCATTAAAAAATAGTTTTGCGGCAAAAACACTGAATATTATTCTCTTGTATTTGTTTAATGGAGATGTAATTCTGAAAAATAGATACATATATAAAACAAAATCATTGTATCAATCATAATATTAAATACAATGAAAGTTTGAAACAACTTTTGGAATAATTTAATCAAATTAACATCAATCATAATATTCTTATAAAACTCCTTAATCCTAGAAAAACTTTGAAAACCAAAATGCAATAAAAATACAACATATTTTTACATACCGGAATTATTAATAAGCATACTAATTAGTAATTACGATTGAAAATTTTTATGGATTTTTTAAATGGTTCATATGTCTGTATAATATTATATTTGAATGAAATCTAAAACTTTTCACTTGTATTGTACAGTATACTGTATAATTTATATATGAGAAACTGTGTTATACGGCATTTATAAACTAATATAAAGCACAGTAAAATATTCAACGCTTCAAAGTCATAACAAATCAGTTTTCATCAAAACATTCTCTATTTGTAGATAAACAACAAAAAACACTCAATAAAAATATTTTACTCTTGAAAAAATAACAAATTACTACATTTAATGGTATTTCACAACAATTCTTGAAATTCACTTCAAATAATTGTCTAAAATTTTTATAGCAACAAAAAATGTTGAATAAATTGATACAAAAGTGCAATATATATTTCTTAGTATTTTATAAGAGAAAATTCTTGCAATAACACCAGTGAAACATCTGGAACTGAACTCCAGTTAAACTGTATTTTGATGTCAAACTTACTGTAAATAGTCATCACATCAATGATATATCTCCGAGAAGTTATCCAACAAAAAATATATACAATCTTTTGTCAAATCAATTGTCAAAATCGACACGAATTATTCTCTAAACTCCATCTAATACCATATATCATATAATACTCCATTAGATATTGCTGCAAAATTGATCATAATTTTACCAGTCAATGATCAGAATTGAAAAATTAATAGTTTATCGACAGACAGTCAATAAAACTAAAATAAAGTATTTATAGTAAACTAACAAAAAATATTTTTACAAGATTGCTTTAAATTCAATTGGAAAACTTATCAGATAATAAAATGGCATGTTTTATACATGACTTGTAAGATTAAAAGTTCATTAAATTATGATAATATAAACTGAACATAATAAACAATCGATGTTAATGTTATATACTTTCATTAAATGGAAACTTAATTCATTGGATGTTGTTTCGAGAGTTTGAAATTTATTCAATCCATTGGGAGTGACATCAAGTGCTCCCACACTCGCACACCAGTCCTCAAAGTCAAATCAAATGGCATTTTAGTACTCAATATTCAAATATATTTTTCATAACAGATAGCTAGAAACTTCAAATAATACTTATTCGTAGTATTACTACTTTTATTGCACAAAATATCATCAATTTTTGTAATTATATATAAAAATAATTGATAATAAAATTAATTTGCTTTAATAAATAATACACTAGTGAACTATCAATGGCTTTAATTCAACACGGTATATATTATTATTGTCATTAATATTAATATTTATTAATTCCGAAAACACATGTATTTATGTTTTCACTAATATATCAATTAATCACCTATAGCAGAATTTTTTAGTGAAAAAATCTATCAAATTTTAAAAACATTTGACCCTAATTTTAGTTAAAATCAAAAAATATTTTAAATTAAAAAATAACATGTTTGAAATTTACATAAATAAATGATTTATTTCTATAAAATTCATATCAAGTGAAAAATACAAGCAGTGATCGGACGTAAAATCAGAGACCAATTGATGTGAAAAATTGAATAAAAATTCAAAGTATCGCATATTTCCAAAGTATCATTACTCAAAATAATTTTATACAAAATATAAAGTTTACAAATATTTTGTTTCCTATAAGAATTTATTTAAGAATATATCAAACTATAGCTAAAAAGTTAAAACATTGTACTTAAGCCAACAATACATAAAAAATTCTCGATTCTCATAAGTTAATATAATTATAATCTCAAAGTTTATTCAAAGAATGCATAGAATAATTAAATCATAAATAATATTTTTGTAAATAAATATATTTATGTCAGAACAATGTTTTACTACTAAATAAATACGAAATAATATAAATGGAAATCAATAAAATAAAGAATAAAACGCTATAATGGAGTGAATCACTTGATTAACATAAGGATAATGTATCCAATTTTTTAGTCTTATATCATACATAGATTGCCAACACTTTAGTACTTTATTATGCAATCAATTTAAAGCTGACTATTAAACGCTATTATTGTTGAAAATGACTTCAAATTGAAAAGTCTCGTTGAAATGAATGTCTCGCAAAACTTATTAACAAATAAATTCGTCCAAAAAAGAGCTTAAATTGATTTTACATATAAATCAATATTTAAAATATAGTAAAATTGAATGAAATTGTTTTATAACTAAAATCCTTTAAAAGTGGAATCAAAATAAATGCAGAAAAACTCTTTTAAGAGAAAAGGAAAGAGAAAACTAAAATTAAATTCAATTTTGTGACAATAAATACATATAAAAACGAATTACAGAATATTCAGTATTTTCTGTGAAAGTATTGCATTGAAATGGATTGACATTTTGGGAGAGAGAGAGAGTGAGAGAGAGAGAGAGAGAGAGAGAGAGAGAAATTGCTGTCTATGTCTAGATTGGTTAGCATTGCATTCAAATAGAAATTCAACTCAAAAACACAAACAACAAAAAGTGGAGGAAAAGTATAGCAAAACAACACTAAACTCTCGTTTATTTTTGTCAATTTTGAGCTGTTTTTAGAGACAATCAGTTTTGAGTATAAAATGCTTTTTTGGTTCAAAAATACGGCAAAACAGTGAAACGGTATTTGGTTTTAAGCACAACAACGATATCATTAGTCATGTAATAAAAGTATTACATTATATGAATACAACAAAAAGACAAAATCGATTCAATAGCTTATAATAATAGCATATGTTTTGCAAAACGATTCACTTTTTCTTGATATGGGATTTAATAGGAATACACTATACGTACAGCGAGTCCATGAATATAAAGTACAAACATTTCTACAGTAAAGCAAACATTCAAATAATACTCTATTTTATTGATTTCACTAAAGTTTAGGTAG